CTTTAAGTCTTTGCCTTCATTGCGGCTCGTCTCCGGTCAGGTTAAGGCCGGAGAACCAGCGTTACAATAAACCTCTCAGCCTTCACTTTCTTAACAGCGAACAGAACCTTATCCATCTCTACCCTGCAGAATGGTTTAATATATATACATATCGTTTTGTTTATATATATATATATATATTTATATATATATGTATATAAACAATATATATAAATATTGTTTTGTATGAAATTTTATCCGAGCACATATACCGTATCATATGAGGCCACTACGCTGACAGTATATGTTATTCTGTGCTCGCTGCCGCCGCTAAAAACTACGCAAATTCAGTAGCTAGAGGGAGACGTGTAGAGAGAGTGATGAGCTCCAGCTAATATATAAAAACAAAATAAAAATAAAAGCATATAAAGAGAAAATAAAGCTAAGAGCAGACAGCAGCAGCTGAGGCCCCCTCTCGCCTGCAGGCCCCCGGGACACAGGCACCCAAGGGCTGGTATAGATGATCTGCTGCTGTGCTGCTGTGCTGCTGCAGCTGCTGCTGCAGCTGCTGCTGCAGCTGCTGCTGCATGCAACCGAAATAAACAGCCCCATTCTCTGCATGCGCAGCCCCTCTATAATTTTTTTTTTTTGTTGAATTGTTAATTCGCCTCTAACAAACAACCTGAACAAACAAAGATATATAAAAAATAAATTAATAAAAACTCTGCTGCATAGACCCCCACCGGGGGCTGGGGTGTATATACAGTTGGTGTTGTGTTGCGTGCATGTGCTGAGGTGTATAGGGAGAGAAAGAAATATATAGGATGATAAATACATTAAAATAAAGAGAAAATAATAAATATATTTAAATTTATAATATTTATATTTAAAACTTTTACATATAAAGAAAAAGAGAGAATAAAGATATGCTGCTACCTCAGCTGTATAGGGAGGCCTGCATGCATGCCTCGGGCTTGGGGCTGCCTGCTGCAGCAGCAGCAGCAGCAGCAGCAGCAACAGCAGCAAAACGATATTTATAATAACACAGAAGAAACTCTTCTTTACTTTTCCATCATTGGCTGACATTTTTCAGCCTTAACTCCTCCTCGAAGGGCTGCTGCATGCATGCAGCAGCAGCAGCAGCAGCAGCAGCAGCCGCAGCAGCAGCAGCAGCAGCAGGAGCACAGCCAACAACAACCACAACAGCAGCAGCAGCAGCAGCAGTTCTTAAACAAAGCAGCAGCAGCAACAGAAGCAACACGATTCCCCCTTCTACGCGTTGCTGCAGCAGCCCTGAGTATCTGTGACCTCACACCACTGCAGCAGCAGCAGCAGCTGCTGCTGCTGCTGCTGCTGCAGCACAGAGCACCAGCTGCAGCAGCAGCAATTTCGCTCTGAAATGCAGATATCTTCTGCAGCATAATGATGGTTCAGCTCCTCCTTCTTACCCTGGATTAGCTGAGCCCCCAGGCAGCAACCGCTGCAGCTGCAGCAGCAGCAGCAACAGCAGCAGCAGCAGCAGCAGCAGCAATAGAAGCAGCAACAGCAGCAGCAGCATGATGAAGGACGAAGCCAGAGACTTAGATCTGCTGCACTCCAAGGTGCGCAGCCTGCGGGACAAGCTGCAGGCCCGTGCTGCGCGAGCCCTATCCAGCAGCAGCAGCAGCAGCAGCAGCAGCAGCAGCAACAGCAGCAGCAGCAGCAGCAGCAGCGGGAACGGTAGCCGCAGCAGTCACCGGGAGGTGATGATTGCACAGCCAGTGCGGCTCAGAAGCGGCGAGGAACGAGACTCCCCTCCAGCTGAGCAGCAGCAGCAGCAGCAGCAGCAGCAGGAGCAGCAGCAGCAGCAGCAGCAGCAGCAGCAGCAGCAGCAAATACCCGTCACAGGCTGATCACATCCGCACTCGGATTGCGACGTGGATTGCGCCTGATAGAGGACAAACCAGCAGCAGCAGCAGCAGCAGCAGCAGCAGCAGTGAGCAGCAGCAGCAGCAGCAGCAGCGGCACATAGAATACCGGGGCTCCTCTGCACTTGCTGCCAGCAACAACGGCAGCAGCAGCAGCAGCAGCAACGGCAGCGGGGACAGCAGCAGCAGCAGCAGCAGCAGCAGCAGCATGCATCTTGCTGTGCCCCGAAGCCTCGTGAGGCGCGGCAGCAGCAGAAGCCCAGAGAAGAGCCCGAGGCACCCGAGGGATAGCAGCAGCAGCAGCAGCAGCAGCAGCAGCAGCAGCAGCAGCAGCAGCAGCAGGGACTACCGAACATCTCCACCGCATAAACATGGATCTGAATTGCATGCACAGCAGCAGCATAGCAGCAGCAGCAGCAGCAGCAGCAGCAGCAGCAACGATGCTGTCAGCAGCCGCAGAAGCCGCAGCAGAAGCAGAGGCCGTGGCCGCAGCAACAGCAGAAGCAGCAGCAGCAGCAGCAGCAGCAGCAGCCACTACCGCCCCAGTCATAGCAGCAGCAGCGGCAAGCTGCGGCCCCTTGAGTATTCACACCCGCAAAGCAGCAGCAGCAGCAGCAGCAGCAGCAGCAGCAGCAGCAGACACGACAGCAGCAGCAGACATGATAGCAGCAGCCGAAGGCATGACGGCAGCAGCAGACATGACAGCAGCAGCAGCAGCAGACACGACAGCAGCAGCGGCAGACACGATAGCAGCAGCAGCAGCAGCAGCAGCAGCAGACACGATAGCAGCAGCGGCAGA